TTGGGGATCATACTCGTAAGAAAACATAACCTGGCCCTCTTAGGAAAATGGTGGTGGCGTTTAGCTGCCCAAACGAACACTCTCTGGGCTCAGGTACTACGGAGTAAGTACAAGATTCCTGAACACACTTGGGTGCCAGAGAGAAGACCTTGGTCCAATGCAGCAGGTGCATGGAATCTTTTACCTCCTCCCTCGCATTGTTCAAAAAATTCATCAGGCTTCACCCGAGAGAAGGTACAAGAGTGCGCTTTTGGTCGGACTTCTGGCTTGGTCATGCACCATTGAGGAACCGCTTTCCATCCCTTTACTTTATGGCAGTGAATAGAGACACCACATTAGAGGAGGAATTGATACCGGAGGGAGGTCGAAGAGTGTGGCAACCCTCATTCAGAAGAAACCTCTCTGAGGAGGAAAGAAAACCACTTTCTCTCGCTATTGGCACTCTTGCACCATACTTTTCTCCCTGTTCAAGGTAGGGATCAGTTGGTATGGTCCCTCGTTCCTTCAGGGGAGTATATGGTGGCCTCCTTCTACAAGAAACTCACCCACCCCCCCCACCTTCCCACTTAATCCCACATCGGTTTTCTCTCAGGTTTGGCATATTATAGCTCCTCCCAAGGTGCAAACATTCAATTGGATAGCGGGCTCACATAAGGCACTCATTGTCGATCACCTACAAAAGCAAGGGATCCCAATTCCCAACTGGGGCATCATGTGTTTGTGCGAGGAGGAATCCAATAACCATCTTTTCATTCATTGTAAACTTGCACACTATCTCTGGAGCCTCTTAGTGAAATTGTTTGGTGTCTTTTGGATACCACCATGAACGGTCAAAGATCTGTTAGCCTCAAATTACGCCTCGCATTGGCCGAAAGCAGGCAGAATCCTATGGAAGGCGACAGTGGCAGCAACCATTTGGGTGCTTTGGAAAGAAAGAAATGCCGGAATATTTCAAGGACAGGTCTGCCTGGTCCCATCCCTCTTTCACATGGTTACATCCTTAGTAACCTTCTGGGCGTCCAATCACCACCTTTTCAAGGGTATCCCATCGAATTCCTTCCCAAGTCAATGGGAGAATATTCTTCTTCACAGACCAAGGAAGAAGAAAAGATCAAGCTTCTGGAAGCCTCCTCCTCAAGGAGCAATCAAACTAAATTTCGATGGGTGCTCCTTGGGAAACCCCGGCCATGCAGGTGCAGGCGGGGTTTTTAGAGATCACAAACGCAATATCCTTTTCACCTACTCCGAATACCTTGGCTTCCAAGATTCCCAGTATGCCGAATCATTGGCTCTCATCAAAGACCTGCAAAGTTTCGATCGATCTTGGGGACAAAACCTAATAGTGGAGGGTGATGCCTGAAACATCATTACTTGGGCCTCCAGGAAAGCTACTCCTCCCTAGTATCTTGCACCACTTTATGAAGAGATTGTACACATTTGGAGGGATATGCCCGTCTTTTGGACGCATACCTCAAGGATGTCAAACGAGCTTGCGGACCTGCTGGTGAAGGACTGAGCCAAGGCCCATGACGGAGACTAGGCCCTTACCTTTTTTGCTTTGGGCCACAGAGGATACTGCAAGAAGAACACCTTACTGAGAACGGGCAAATTTTTTGAGCCTTTTCTCTTAAACTCGCCGTATACTTTGTAAGGGGCAAGCTTATAACCCTATTTTGTATAGAGTCTGTTGACCTATTCTTTTTTACCGAGAGTCCCGTCTAGTGGGTACTCTCGGACTAACCCAAACTTGTATTCTCCTTTTATAAAGCAATGCAAATGTTAACGTTCATCAAAAAAATAAAACTTGAGAAACTTGATTCCAAATATGTAAGAATCACGATTCTACACAACAACATATCTATGTACCACATATGTCGGAAACTCGAATCAAGTCATGTCGGAAACTCAATTCCGCTATTGTAATTCTCGATCTCAAACCAACATGGATCTCTTATCCATATAGTTCAGAAACTTAATTCCAAATATGCTAGAAACATGATTCCATATATCATTGAAACTTGATTCCAAATATGTTAGAATCACGATTCCATAAATGATGGAAACTCGATTCCGCATATGTCAAAAACTCGATTCCATATATGATGGAAAATCGATTCTGCATATGTCGGAAACTCGATTTCATAGATGACGGAAACTCGATTCCTTGTATTAATGAAACTTGACACTTGGAGTGTCGAACCTAGGGGGATGGGAATCTTGATTCTAAGGAGGCCGGAATCTCGATTCCATATGTGGATGAAACTTGGACCTATTCCGATCGACTCTTGATTCTCGAAAATTAGGAATCTCGTTACCAACGATTCCTATTATACGGACAACGATTCCTACAAATGGAAACTTCTGGCCAGGTGCGATTCCAGTTCCTGAAACGATTCGGCTTCCCAGGCGTTTCCAACAACTATGTGCACAACACAAAAGAGGACCTTAGATGCCTCTAAGAATTGCCGTGGATCACCTCCTAGGGACTTTGCACAAACCGAATCGGATCTCTTCTTTTGATAACGACTAGATCGGGGCTCAATGCTCTCTTCCAAGTGGGAAGCTAAGACGAACATCCCAACTATGTTTGGCCTTTGAGATGGGTTGAGAATGAAGTTGGAAATAAGTCCAAGAATGCCTTATATTGTGTATGGAAAGATGGAGGCAAGAACAAGGCTTATTATGCACACACCATGTGGGAGACAATGTACAAGACAATGAACAAACAATATGAGGGCTAGAGAAGGGAAGAGAGACACCAAAGAGGGCTTTTACTTTGCTGGTTTGGACTTTGAAGATGTGGGTTTCAATCACCAGTAAGCTTCCTTAATTGGGTATGGAATATGCAAGGTGATGGGATCATGTAAGGCATGGTGATGGTGAAACAATACAGGGTTGTGGGGCACGCAAGGCTTTATGGTCTAAAGAGCAAGCTATAGTCTTACAAAGTGGGGCGTGGGTCTCAAGAGTCCCTCTGCCTCTCTCTCATACACACACACACACACACAAACACACAAAAATTTAAGAGCATAACAGTGCTTGAAAGGTTGTGTGAAACGTGGGGCCAAGTACTCCTATTTATTTTTACTGCTAACTTAGGGTTTCAAGAGTGTGTAGAAGGTTCGTCTTAAGGAGGACCAATATGGGCCTGTAATATTGGATATCTATGGGGTGAAGAGAAGCTCAATCCAAGCCACTCATCCCATGATGTTCTATCGTCGATCAAGGGCTAAGGTTCAACATCCTTATTCCCTAGCCATCCAAACCCTAATTTCCCTTTAATTGTATTTGGTTTTATTTCTGGCTAAGTTCACTCAGAGATAAGAAATATGTTCTTTAAATCAAGGGTCCTATGAACTACTGTGTGAGAGGGAAGAGAGAGATCGACACAATGAATAAGGCGTGCCCTTGAGTCCAGCTTTCTCTCCGTCTTTCCTTTCACTTGAAAGGAGAGAGATAAGACGGAATCTCTCTCTCTCTCTCTCTCTTATATACTTCACATGTGTTCAAGTGACTGAGTGACATGTTTCCTAAGGTTACTTTATATGTGGGCTAGGGATCTTGTGCCATGTGTCCCTTCTTGGACACAATTACTAATTTTCCCATGGCCCCATGGCATAAAGACCTGTTTTTCTTGCTCACACACATGTACTTATGTTCACACACTCATAATGCTCATCCACTTAATACGATAAAGGTGCGCTTATGTGAGGCACACCCAAGTGATGATTTCATCATCACATCATCAACATCGGGCCCTCCAAGGGCCCGCATGCGAGGTCCATTGCCCATTTGGGCATCACACATGGTCTTAGGCCCACCAATGTCTCCTTATTTATCATTTGGTCAAACAATTTTCTCAAGTCCATTTCCAGAAAAATTATCTAAAACTCCTGAACATGATCAAATATCATTTTTCATTTTATTTTAGCAAATTAAAATGGTTCAAGCTCCTAGAAAAATCTTAAAGGGAAATCCGGTACCTTAGGTTGTGGACTTCTCAATGCGAGAGCACTTCACGTGGCTTACTCCAAAACATACAACCATGTTCTTAAACTAACCCAATGGAACCCAAGACCCACAGTTCCATCCAAGGGCTCATGATTGGCCCATCAAAGTAGAATGATAGGCCATGGAACCCGGAGTCTAGTGGATTCCAGGTGGCATAAGAAATGAAAGCCGCTTTGAGTTTGATTCCGCTGTTTTAGAACTTAGGAGTAGCCTTAAAACTGTTATTGTTGAATTTTGATTGCAAGACACTGGTAAACATTATAGTTCTAGATGATGAGTTCTTAATGCTTCTAGGATGATAAGTTTGACATGACGGAGTAACCAAATTTGACAGGCAGAATTGTAATACCAATCGAAACAGGAGTTTACTTGAATGTGAAAAATAGTACATAGGGGTTTATACTTCGCCATTTCCTGGTGCAGCAAGCAGGCTATTGTTAGCTGTTGATGCAAACGCTGTCAGGGAAAGCATTATATTTAGGGAAGCTATTGCTTCTTGCTTCACAAAGGTTTTGCTATACCAGATGGAACCTTGTACCAGGTTTAATGGGAAATGTCTTCAATGATGAGCACAGTTAATTTCTGAGTGAAATTTGTGAACATTATTGCTCAAAGACACTAAATTTTTTCAGACTTTTCATTTCCGACATGCGTGGGAGTGATGCACCCTAAACGTCGGCTTTCACATTTGACAACTTTGCGGTGATGTCAAATTTTCATCCAACAATTAACTTTGCTGTTGGATGCAAAACATATTTAATATAAGAATGTCTCTCATAAAATGCTTTCTGAGGAGAAAGAATGGCAATATCAATGATATCTCATTTGCGTTGCTTAGAACGAAAATACTTTAGAAGGCAAGTGATGTACCATGCATGTGCTCGTGACAGGTTGGACATTTTTCTTAGCATATTTTCTTATATATATCTTGCTTGATTTTCTTCAACTGTTATTTACATGTTGATTAATTCTTGGAGCTTCTTTATCAGGTAGGTGATCTGGGTTTGTCAAAAGTGAAATGTCAGACACTTATATCTGGTGGCGTGAGGGGTACTCTCCCATGGATGGCCCCTGAACTTCTTAATGGCAGTAGCAATTTGGTTTCTGAGAAGGTATGCCGAATTCCATTCCTATGGATATCAAATAGCTTCTTAAACTTTATCTAATCCTCCATGTGTGTGTTTTTGCTCATGCTGATCGCTGCTGTGCAGAGAGAGAGAGAGAGAGAGAGAGAGAGAGAGAGTAGGTTGG